CAATAAACGCTTCAGGGATATAGAAAGAACTTCCATTGTGTCAATCATGTCAAACTGCAGAATGTCCTTGAGAAAATGGGAATCCTAGAACATCTCATTGTCCTCATGCAAATCTTAGATCTAAGTTAAGAAGCCACAATCCAGATAGAACAGTGGTTCTCAACCTGTGGGTCGGGACCCCATTTGGGGTCGATCGACCATTTCATGGGGGTCACCAAGCAAGGCTGTCCGCCATTTTTTTTGTTCGCCATTTTTTTGTCCATTTTTTCCCCTTTTCCGGCAGGTGCCTTACCTCCCTTGGGCTGGGCCAGCTGATGGTCGGCCTGCTCTGTCTCTATCGCTTGCCAGCTACGCCTCTGCCGGCGCAGGGGGCGGAACCACGCATGCGCAGCAGGGAAAGTCCTCGACTTACGACCGGTTGGGTAGTCCTCGACTTACGATTAGTTTAGTCCTCGACTTACGACCGGTTTAGTCCTCGACTTATGACCGGTTTAGTCCTTGACTTACGACCGGTTGGGGTCGCGGCATTAAAAAGGTTGAGAACCACTGAGATAGAACATGGCAAAGCAGACTGACTGCAGATCAGCAAAGGAGTTCAATGTATATGCTGAGTATAAACCAAGGAAAGTTGGAGTATAAGAAGTTGAATGTGGATTTAAAAGCGGAAGTAGAAACATTAATAACCTGCATTATGCTGATAATATTACAGTGATTCCTAAAATGCAGATGATTTACAAGGTCCAGTACCTTGGTGAAAAAAATGGAGCTAATATTAAATATAAGCAAAGCCAACTAATAACAACAGATATAACCTCTGGCTATACAATTGACAATGAAGTTGTTAAAGTGATGGCTAGCGTTTGCCTTTTAGGACCAACTATCACTTGTAAAAGAATATAGTAAGCAGTCAAGAAATACACAACAGATTAAGAATAGGGCACTAACTTCTGAAAAAGAACAGTTGGTGAAAAAAAGAGTTTGACTATGAGACCACAAAAAAAAATCTAATGAAACACTTAGGACTTTATCAGATAATTTCAAAACAAATACAATAAATTATGGAAAGAAATAAAACAAGACATGAAATGTAGAAAAACCGAAAACTTTCTAAGCTGAGATTTATTGTGATAATAAAACTGTATACCTTACCTAAAATGAATTTAAACAAAATAAATATATAAAAATCAATCAACCTATAATTCAGAAATCTCACTCAAGGCACAAGTAACCAGGTTCAGCTTATCACAGTTTGATCACACTACAGAAATATTAACTCTCTTGAAAAATCCATTATTCTGGTAAAGTTAGAAGAAAAGAAAAAAAGATGAATAACAACAAGGAGGGTGGGAGTAATTTATAGAAGTGATGGGTGTACTCTTTGAAGAAGAACCAGGTTGAGGAGAACCCAGTTATTCTGTCATGTGGTAGCTAAGAGTCAATGCCAACCTGATGAGATATAAAAATCAGATCACCTGCCCTTGATCTATTCTAGATCCTTGAAGGACAGCATTCCATACATTTCTACATTTACATACAAATATACATATAGACTGTAGTAATGAATACATGAGTTTAACAGGCGCTTGCAAAACTATGACACTTCTTTGAGAACAGAGCTTTGGTAAGGAACAGAATTGGTTCTCTTCCTTAACAAATGAAAAGAAAACTACCTCAACTTTCATTTCACTAGGAAACAGAAAGCTTGGAAGAATCCTGTGACAAAATTTTAAAAACTAACATCAGGTAAGAAAGATCCCTGAAAGAAACTTAAGATCAGCAGCTCTGCTCGTGTAACACAACCTACTTGAGAAATGAATCTGTTTTCTAGGGTAACTCATTATGACTAATTAACCAAATGGGCCATGTTCACAATACACCCTAAGCCACCCATAGATTCAAAAGGTTAAAGCCAACCAAGTTTCGCATGCCATGTGTGAAGACAGCCAAGAATCTGTTTGTAATGAGTAAACATGCCTTCCCTTGCCCAGTGCTTGTATCTTTTATTGGACTATCACTCATACCATACTCAAATGGTTAGGCGGTTAGGCGAATTGTAACTAACCCAGTTACACAATGCTACTTTGAGATAGACTGAATTAGGGTCAAGGAAACTGGATCAAGAAACCAAGTACTAATCTCCATCCAAGCATGTTTTTTTAAAGGGATGTTGGCTCTTTTATTTCACTTTAGCCTTGCGTGCTTCACAAAGCTACTATGGAGCTAAACAATACAGCTGCTGCTGTGTCCAAATAAATGTGTTTCTCATATATTTTTATATAAATATAACATTTTTTGCATATAGTGCAGGAAAACACTAGGAATACCATCGTTCAATGGATCCTGTTTCTGAGGGGCCTTTAAGGCAGAGAGTGCATTGAGATAGTACACAGTTCATTAAAGTGTGAATGATTATAAATAAACACACCAAGTCCAGAAGAACTAGAAGCACATAACCACTTGTTTTTGTCAGGGTTGAGTTTAATTCTTTCCATCCAGACTCCAAAGTCTCCAAGACTTTTGAGACATGACCTTGATACCAACGGAATGGCATGTCCCCTGCCCCATCTTTAAAACAACCTAAACTAATGTAATGAAGGAAGTATCCCTTCTCTGTTGAAGCACTTGCCCTCTAGAATTGTATCTTCCCCCCATCCCCACCCCCCAAAAGTTAAAGTTCCCTGTCCCTGCTATTCTTTAAAAGGGTCTTGAAATCCTGACTCTTTCTCCAGGTGCAAGGAGAGAGAGGTATAAGCCTTCTGTGGAAATTATGTAAATGAGTTGGCTATGTTGGTCCCTGGATTATTAACTTCTCTCTCTTTTTTATTGTATTGTGTGTGTTTTTTTATTGTGTGCACCACTCGGAATCGTTATGAGTTGGGTGGCCTTATAAATAAGTAAGATAAGATCTGTTAGGAGAGAATGGGTGGGTCTGACACTCAGAGTCCTCCTCAGCAGAATGAGATGGAGGATTCTGACATGCAATTAACCAGCTTACCAAGGGAAACAATGCAGTTATATAATGGAGGCTAAAATGACCTAAAATTTACCACTACTGGTAATCCTCAACTTACAACAGTTCATTTAGCGACCGTTGAAAGTTACAATGGCACTGGAAAAAAAACCTGGCTTATGACTGTTTTTCACTCTTACGACCATTGCAGCCTCCCCTTGGGCACATGGGTCAAAACTCGGAGGCTTGGCAACTGGCAAATATTTATGATGGTTGGAGTGTCCTGAGGTCATGCAATCACCTTCTGCGACCTTTTGACAAGCAAAGTCAGATTCGTTTAACAACCAAGTTACTACTGGAACAACTGCAGTATGCACAATGGTGGCACGAAACGTTGTGAAATGGGAATAAAACTCACTTAGCAACATAAATTTTGGGTACAATTATGGTTGTAAGTTGAGGATTACCTGTACTACTATTTTCTATTTCAAAGCCAGACCTTGTTTGTAGCAGATGTGTAGACGCAGCCCCCAGAAACAATGTGAAGTGAGGCAAAGGGGGCAACCCTTTGGCTTGGCTTTGCAGAAGAAGGATCTACACCACTTCATGAAGCAACTTCCCAGGTACCTTTTACCAGTGGTGGGATTCAAATATGTGAACAACTGGTTCTCTGTGTGGATGCCACTTCCGGAAGTCCATTCTGGGCCTGGGCAACAAAAAATTAGCTACCGGTTCTGCCGAAGTGATGCGAACTGGCTGAATCCCACCACTGCCTTTACCCCCCCAAAAGCCATGGAAGTAAAACAACTCTGTGATGCTTTGGGTCACACTAGCAAATATGCATGCTATATAAAATTCAGGAAACCTCATTCCCCTTCCCCCAGCCGTTCCTCTTTCCCTTCTACAACCCCACTATAGGAACATAGCAGAAAGCCCTTCTCAAAAAAAGATAATTTAATATGAGATTTCCTTTTCTTTTTCTTCATTCACGTAGAGACAGAAGATTAAACTTTGTTAACGTCATCACCCACACAAGATTTGCATTGCACATGGGTGGATGATATAAATAATATATAAACATAACCATATATATATATATATATTTATATACATGTTCATACATATATAAAACCAAAGTGATTATGCTCACATTCCCTATATACAAAGCAGTCTAGAAACAGGAATTCTCTCCTATCCTCCAAGTAATGAAGAAAAATAATAAAGTGCAAGGATTCACCCCCTTTTCTACTTTGCCTATTGTGATTTTTGCCTTGGATTCTTTCAAACATACCTAACGTGCTAGATTGGTTTCAAGCAGATGACTGCAATGTGCAGTGATTAAAGGAGGGTTCAGAGGTCAATAGCTTCTGAGCCACTTGTTTAATCAGAGAAGGCCTTATAACCCGACAGCAAAACATTTGCTTTGTCCATATGAAGCTGGAGGCTTAATCACTAAAACCTTTCCAATAGGAGAAATGTCAGACTTCTGGTGAATTTGGAGAGCTAAATTTGAAACGTCTTGACATGCTGATGGCCCTGACACTCGGGTTTCTGTGCAGTGCAGTTTTTACAGTTAATCTGTCAGAAAAAAAATATCTGATATTGTTGAATCCCAGCATGATTTTGAAGCAGGGGCTATACATTTTCATGACATTAAATGGCATTGGCAAAGGTGTTTGAGTCTCTCTACCTGGATCAAGGGACCATGTATAAATAAGTTTTACAACCAGGGTTTTGTTGGTGCTAGGCTGCCCTTTTCCCCACGGTGGGATTCTACGCACACGTTTTAAATCTGTGTTCCGTGAGCGGACCAATCCGTGGTGCCAATTACCCTACGAATCCTCTCTGACCGTCTCGTCTCTTTTAGTGAGCAACAGAACACAGAGACACACACACCAGTGGCTAGAAGGATGTCACTGTCTCTCTTTCAAATGGCAATCAAGGTACAATACAACTTGCAATGTGACATGACCTGAAGAGCAGACCCCGCCCCCCAAAGAGAAGGCATGGCGGGGACAAGGCAATGGAGTACGGCTCGGATGCTTGGCTGTCAATCAGGATACAAAAGGAAGCCAGAGAAAGTGCTGTATTTATTGTTGTTGCCTCCGTGGGCTTTGCCTCCATCCAGCTTGACGTAGACTTCGTCTCCCGAGTCCAGGTGGAGCACTACACTGTTGCTGGCGTAGTCATAGTTCTGGTCCGCATCCTGAGCGATGGCGCTGGCTCGCACCTGCAAAGCACATCATGCCAAGAAGGAAGAGGGGTTCAGATCTCTGTCCTGTAAATTCCCCCACCACCGTCATTGCACAGCTCAACCCTCTTTTCCCTGCCATCAGGATTTTTATTTATAATTAAACCATACTAAAACCACCATAATACGGAGCCATGGAATTGCAATGGGATAGGTCTTATAATTCGATATCTAAGGAAGCTAACCATCTAACTGCTTCTGGTATGGCTGCGATGAGGTCATCCCAGGAGCCTTGAAATTTCCTGAGGGGACATTCTTGAACTATACGTGTCATAAGTTTGTTCCGGTGCACCGCAGTGGCATTGCGGGCTCTCGGCCCACCTAAGGAGCTTTGCCTTTGACTTCTAGCATGGCCTGCCCTGATTCTGTTCAGGTGGCTCCATGTTTTGGGAAGCAACTGCATTCCTGGAAGTGGTTTTGTTGGATTTGTGTGATCTGTTTGCTAGTGGTTATTGAAAGTCTCCCATCTTAATCGCCATTCTTCATCTAGACCAGGGGAAGTCAACCTTGGCTCTTTTATGACTCGTGGACTTCAACTCCCAGAATTCCTGAGCCAGCCATGCTGGCTCAGGAATTCTGGGAATTGAAGTCCACGAGTCATAAAAGAGCCGAAGTTGACTACCCCTGGTCTAGACTGTAAGACTGTAGTATGTTATTCCAAATTAGTTTCCTAGACTTAAGACTGGTGAGAGGTAGAGAGTCTAATATTTTATGTATTGGAAGATCTCTAGGAGTCGATGGCCTGGTTATCTTGCCATCGGCTCATAGAGATGCTGCTAGAATGTCAATCCTTACATGCAAGTCCTGTGAAGTGAACCCAGTGGTTCTTTCCTCCAGTGGCAAAGCCAGGGATCAGTAAGGCAGTGACATGTCCCAAATTTAAAGGATGCTCAAACAAACCCTAAAGTGTTTGAACAAGAACCCCAAAATGGTTCCTAAGTTGAAAAGTTAGAGCTAACAAAGTTCCAGAGCTACCCATTTGCATCAGATTGCCTTATTCTGATCCTCCCTTGATATTAATCTCTGCCCTTGTCTCCTACTCATATCTATTTCATTTCCATCACAGCCTCCCCCTCCTTTGACTCCTTTTTATCTTCTAGCCAACTGTTTCTTAGGTTTTGCTCCTTGTTCATTCCTATTAATAATCATTTCCATCATGCATGCATATTCTTTTTTCCCTTAATCAGCCCTTTGAAAAAAGAACACCGAATGTGACAGTAGAAGACATACAGTTTAACCTCTTTTCAGGGAAGTATTTTTTTTTTTCACTTGTCCTTTTGCAACCCATCCTGGCTCTTTGTTAAAGTCTTCAACGTCTTCAACAAGAGATTCTCTAATTTCTCCCAGGCTTCTCTTTCCCACCTCCTTCCCCAAGCTGGCTTTTTAAATCCCATTTCCCATCTGTCTGCTTCTTCTCTTTCAGCACCTTCATTTCTATCTATTACTCCATTATCTTTCTTTGGACTGTCCCTGGGCTTTCCCAATTTTATCCCTCTGTTAATCTGGCTCTCCTCTTTTTATTTTGACTGTTTCCTTCTTTCCCTCATATTTTCAATCCTTTCCGTTCATTTCCTAATTCAGCATTACTTACTTTGAAGAGGTATTGTGTATGGTTTATTTTAAAGTTTTCTTGCTGCTTCATCCAATCATCCTATGTATGACAAATCATAATAATGCAAAAGATGATACCCCAGTTTTCTGTACCTTTATGAACAAATCAGTTGGTACCTTTCGCTCCTCTGAGTTGGAAACAGATGTGCTTTGCTTTGTTTCGCTAATTGCAGGGCAATTCCTTAGTTAGCCTTTTTGCTTCTTTAGTTTAAACTGTTACATTTCTCCTACAATAATCCAAAAATCCAATACCAATGTCGCATTAATAAGGTGAAAACACTTATCTTTTTTGCCTTTTCTATAACTAGCTTGATCATCGCTTTCCAGTTCCCCAAATTTCATTCTCTGTACCTCCTCATGTGCACATCAGCCCACATCCATAACTGATCAATAGCTCAAGCCATTATGTGATGGATTTTCTTCCCTCCCCCAAAATTAATGCCATCTGCATCCCTAATTTCCATCACCCTGCATAACCTAATCTAGTCTTCCTAATGCTAAAAGAGATCATCAGTCCAATCATAAAAGTGTCATAGCAAGTATCTGAATGGATTCACATAATAATCCCCAGAGGAATCATATCTTTGTAGGGGCTAACCACATCTATGTAGGACTTTTTGTTATCTAACTCTCACTCTGTGTGTGTGTGTGTGAGAGAGAGAGAGAGAGAGAGAGAGAGAGAGAGAGAGAGAGAGAGAGAGAGAGAGAGAGAGAGAGAGAGAGA